GGGGGGGGGGGGGTGTTGGAGATGGGTGTGTTTCGAGGAATGGTAATTTAGGGAGGTCAATTTTATAGACATTTGAGAAGGTTGATGATGTCGAAATGCTTTGTAGATGTTTGGTGCTTGTGGTATATATATGTTACAGATTATTTGTATTCGAAGGACCAACCACACTCTTGTCACTCTAGTTAAAGTTTTATTAACTTCTCTTAAAATTATACCTAATTTCAAACTCAAATCACTTCATGGCAACATCTCGATGACTCGTATCCTTAGGAGCACGCTTGTATGTCCCTTTTTTTAGTGGTTTTAATGGAAATGTGACAATTTTTGAATCATTTTAGTCTAGTTTTGTATGTTGAATGTTTATGGTGTGGATTGTGATAGATTTGTCTAGTTTTCTACTAGTAAAATGTATGGAGCATGTCAGTGTGCTCCATAATGACATTTTGATGATACATAATATGATCAAAACTAATTCACTTCATGAGTTCATGGCAACATTTTGATGGCCTATATCCTCAACAAGTTTATTATGGGGTGTGCTCGTGATTTTAATTGAAACGTGACGATACTAATCTGTCTTTACTACTCCGTAGTTTGGTACCGTTTGCTTGTTTTATGGTGGAGTGGTCAATTTTGGTTACATTAAGGATATAATATGTTGATGTTAATGTTTTGCAAATGACATCGTGTGGGTGAAGTTAATTTAAACGATATGTACTCTGTATGATTACACCGTCGTCTCGGAATTATGTTCCCGATTTGGTTCATAATTTTTTTATTGTATTTGTATTCAAATGAGTAAATTTCATAAATGTTTCCTAATTAATGGTGGTTTTCCATGTTTAATAATCAATTTTAAGATGTTAAATAAACATTCTCAACTTTTGAAACCTAATTCATAAGTAATTTTTTAGGTCAAATATTATAGAATATTTTTTCCGCATAGTCTTTGAAAGACTGAATATAGATTAATTTTATAAAAAAATGAGTACAATTTATATAATATTTCAGAATTGGTGATTAAGAGCATGTTCTCTTCAATTTGTTCTTATTGGAATTAGTTTAGAACAGTTTAGAACAGTTTTGAATATAATTACATTTTGATCATTTTAAATTAGATTAAAATTTATTCTAATTATATCATAATTAATCAAATCGGGTGAAGGGAACAAGTCCTATATTGATAAAGCTAACCGTAAGTTTGTAATTAGAGTCCATTAATAGAATTTATTCTTTTCAGTTAAAATAAAAATAAAATTTGTTAAATTTATTTTTGTGAACTTATTTTCATCGGTTAAAATAAAATTTATTAAGGGTGTGTTTGGTGAGTTGAAGATATATGAATATCTTGAGATATGAGAGTTTTTCTGGTATTTTGTGAAACTAAAAGCCATTGAATTTGATATCTTATCACAAATTTTTCAAATAAAGTGTTTTGAAATTTCCCAAATTTAAAATATAAGGGTTAAATTTCTCCTCCAATTGTTTACCATTTTCCACCACTCACTACTATGGTCATCGCCATCCACCCGCATTGACAGTAATTTCTACTTATCATTAATCAAATTATGATTCCAAATCTCTCCAAATAATTTTATTTTAGATTTCAAAAATCATGTCAATCTTCTAAGATTTCAAAATTTATATCGTATCATATCTTTAAAACTCACGCCCCCAAGTCCATTAAACTTCAACCGAGACTTTAGTTTATAAACAATCTTTAATTTCTTCCCCTAATTCCAAACGCTGCCTTAAAGTTCCCCAAATACAACGTTGAATGGTTGGCAGTTTGAGTGTGGTTTGGCTGTCCTCAAATGCAAAACGCCTTTTTTTCTATCTCTTTCACTCTTTCTCTCTCACACAAACTCAATGAGAGGTATATTTGTCTCTTCTCTTCGTAACAACTTACAACTACTCCTCATTCTCTTAATTCCTTTCGTTTTAATTTTAAGTGAAGTCCCATAAAGAGAGAATAATTTAGATGGAGTAGATTTCTAAGTTGGATTTTAAAGATTGGTAATTGGCAAGTGTTGCACATTATAGAAGACTAGAGTGTGTTTTTTTTTTACTTTCTTTCGTCTCGAAATAAGCATCATGTTACCGTTGACAAAATTGGGTTGAAAATATTTTTCAATTTTATTATTATAGAGTACGAGGATATATTTTTATTACCTCTCGTCGCAAAATGGATGTCACTTTACGATTAATAACATTTCATTGGAAATATACGGGGTATGTATTCAAAGGAATATATATCATAAAATTTGTTTGAGCTAGAGGTCCTTTAGAAACAACATTTCCACTTTCAAGTAGGGGCAGGGCCTGCTTGCGCACATCCGTTTCAGATCTTACTTTCGTCTGATTGGGTTGTTGTTGGTGTATATCATAGATCTATAAAATAAGAGTTAACATATCTATGTTATTTTACTAAATAAGTGACAAAAATAAGTGAAGAAAAATGATGAAGTTTGACTTTGAATAACTCAATAACTCACAGTAACATCCATTTTGTGGCAGATGGAGTACAAAAAGTTTGATTTTTTATTTTTGAGTTCGTTTCATTCGTATCTTTGAATAATCAAAGGTTCCATTTTTACATAATAATTGTGTCTAGTTAAATTTGAAACTTTATTTCATGTTGAAGAGTGTTACGATCCCCTTAATTAAATACTTCGTATTATTTAAGTTTTTTCACACCTTTCACATAGGCATGCATAGTCAATGGTGCAAGAATACTTTTTGAGTGCCTTAGCTTGATTAAATATCGGGCTTTTAACTAGCTTAATCAAATTTAGAAAAAGTGACTTGTCAAAAAATGATTTGCTCAAGCTTGAGTTGTTTAATAATCCATCCTCTAATACATGCTCAGATTTAATCTACACCATTCACATAGATATGTATAAATAATGATGCAAAATTTTTAAATTGTATCGTAAAAAGTAAAGCCAGAAACAATTGTCTTGCACGACAAAAGTTTTTTAAAAATATTATTTGTTTCTATTACTATATTTTGTTCATAATTTTTCAATCTAATAATACATAGTGAGTTATTGCTTCCGTTTTCGCTGCAAATCAAATCTAGATGAGCTTTCTCATAGAATCTGGAAAATGAACTTTTTGCTACTTAAGTCAAGAGAAAAACTTTACACCTACAAAAAGTTAACAATCTTACTAAATACTCTACACCAACTTTGAAGAATAAAGGTTTTTAAGGCTATTGATTTAATTAAAATGTATTCTCTGCTTATATTTTCTCAACTTAATAACACATAATAAGGTATTGCTTCTGTCTTTGCTCGAAATCAAATCTAGGTGAACTTTCTAATACTCCTTCCGTCCCAAATTATTTGCAATGTTTGCTTTTTCAGCAGTCACGAGAACTTTTGTTTATTTCTACGTTTTCATTGGTTATTTGATAAAATAAAATATTCTTGACACCTCTTATTTCGAAGAACTTTTCATGTAGTTTTTGCTATATAAATTTCATTTTTTTTATTTCTATACCAATATGTAAATAAAATGAAATAAAAAACTTGATATTTTGCCTCGGGAATACAAATGTTAGAAATATTTAGGGACGGAGGGAGTAGATGAGAGTGATCCTCTTGCCACTCAAGTCAAGAGGGAAACTCTACATCTCACAAATAAACAATTTTTCAAAATACTCCATATAAATTTATAGTCACGCCAAATTAAAGACTAATTTTTTTAGTATTATTGATTCGATTAGAATATAATATTCATTTAATTTTTCACAATCTTAGGAAGTGCTCTACAATTAGCATGATCTTTTTTCTAATTGGAAAATGACAGGGGTATACCAAGCTTTCTAATTTCCTCCTCTTCTACCGTCCACATCTTTTGCCTGCCACTCTACTTCCAACCTTTTGAATCCCCACACTACAAACTACTGACGTACTACAAATGTGCAACCCCCCC